TGGTGCCAGTGCTCCCTTGGGGCCAGCAAGACAGTCTGTACTGTCTTGTGCTTTCCATTCCCAGATCTCTCCATGGGCTGGGAAAAATAAAAGGGACGTAGTTAGTGTAGCTTGGGCAAGTCTCCTGCCAGGCTTGGGGGGCTGAGGACGTGCAGTCCCGAAGGGTGACAGGGTCCCAACATGCTGCGGGGCAGCCACCTGCTTGCAGGGGTTGTGCTGGCTGGAGTGATGCAAAGAGCCTGGGAAGCTGGAGATGCCCCATGGGTTTGGGGGGGCAGCCCCGGCTGGAGAGGCCCCACAGTCTTGGGGTCAGGCTCAGGGCGGAGCCCGTGCAGAGTTACCGTGGGTGGTTTCTCTCTGTGCGGGAGCAGGAAGTGGGTGACACGGGGTGACGTTGCTGCATGGCCCTGGATGGTTTCTCAACAGGTAGCAGGAAGGGTCGGGGGCTGGGGGAGGAGAGCAAAGGCAAGCAGGTTTGGAGACCACCCCAGCCAGGCGCCCACTGAGTAGGGTGGGAAGATGCCAGGCGGGATGCCTGGCCAAGCTAGAGCAGGCAGAAAGGGATTTCTCTCCGCCGAGCCAGGAACACACTGACATGCCTGTTCTCTGGCCGCTGGCAGAAAGCCGGTGCCTGCCACCCCATCCCCCTGCAGCCCCCAACAGCCCTGTCCCAGCCCCACGGGTTGGTGGGATTCCTCCAGGATCGCTGCTGTGGGGAGCAGGAGGTTTGCATGTGTCAAAGTCCTGTTTGCTTTACCAGGCTGGACTTGTCTTTATTTGCTTAACGAGCTTGGAGACCCTTGCTGCTGGGAGAGCTGGCCGGCAGTGCCTGTACCCTGCCTGGGGCCAAGCGAGGGTTTAACAACTTCCACCTTCGGGCAGGATCCAACCTCTCTCCGAACTCTGCATGGTCAGGACACCCCTGTGCCAGGGGGCTCAGACACCCCCGTGGCTCCCAGTGCTGGGCATGGTCTGCGAAGGTTTTGGGGGGGCTCATCATGGGCACCCTTCTCATTCCTATAAAACCCTGGGTGTGCAAATCCCCCTGATGCTGGGGTGGAGGTTTTGAGCCTCCCTGGAGGCAGCTGATCTGTGCACCTCTCTTCTGCGGTGCTGACAGTTTTACACCCCTGAGGCCAGCCCTGCTTCCGGGGGCCCTGCGCTGCGGGGACCGTGCCCAGCGCTCGGTCGAGTGACAGCTCGTCCTCCCTCCGCCTGTGTTTCTGGAGTTGCCAGCTGCTCGGGAGTGTCTTGAGGAAGTTTCATGCAAACCGTATGGTGTTAGCAGAGCAGCACTGGCAGCTGCCAGCCCGGTGCCCTGGCATGGGCTGGGGCTGATTTTACCAGGGCAAAGCTTTTGCTACCAGCCCTGGGCTTCCCTCTTGCAAATTTAGTGCTAAATTAGAGCCCTCTCTGCCAGCAGTGCTCATCCCTCCTTGTAAAACCTGGGTGAGCCTCCAAGGGCTGGGTTTTGGGGTATAACAGGGAGCAGATCCCCCCATTTGGGAACATTGCACTGGGGGTAGTCGGTGTCTAATTAGGAAATGAATTAAATTTCCTCTCAAGGCAGCTGCATGAAAAGCAGCTCCAGTGAAACGGGACGTGACAGGGATGCTGCGAGGAGGCTGCTTTGCATCCCCTTTGTATGAAGCCTGAATGTGTGCGCCAGATTTTGGGACCCGTGTGAATTTGCTGGCCCAGGCGTCGGAGCTGTTGTGTTTTGCTGAGTAACCGGGAATGCTGCTGCTGACGGGCTTGTTGCTGCTTGTAGGGCTGCAGGGAGTTTCCTGGGACTTGGGGCTTCAAAAGCTGTCCTGAAATTGCTGGTGGGGGGCTGGGAGCCAGGGAGTGGGTCCTGGCACACCATGCCATTGGGGTCCCTGTGTCTCTGGGGCTGCTGGTCCTGCCGGGTGGCTGAAAGTGCTGGGAAGGGATGGTCCGGCACACTCCTGGAGGGAGAAGGGTCCAGAGGTGCCCCAAGTCCTGTTCCAGGGCAGGAATAGGGATGCAGTGCTGCTGAGCTCCCTATCCCAAGTGGGCGTCTGTGTGGGCAGATATCCCTCTGCCACCCCTGGGTGCAGAGGAGAGGGATGGCACAGGATCCCCGTGCTGGGGGCTGAGTCTGGCTTCCCCCACCATCCCCCCTGCTGGAGGTTGTAATTGCTCATAACGAGGCTCTACTGGCTAATCCATGCCCCATTGTGGTGGGAGGGCTCTGGCATTGGAGAAGAGGATGCGAAAGCTTATAGAAATTAGGGGCATTTCCATTCTCCTGCTGTCCAGCTTCCGGCCCTGCAGCCATGGGGCTTCTCTGCATCCCGGGTGTTGACCCCAAACCCTCTCACCTCCAGTCCCTTCTGGCCAGGGGGACTTTGGGGCTGGAGGGATGCCCTACCGTGGGGTGCTTGCCCTGTGGACGGGCAGGATACGGCTGCTGGAGATTGGATGCATTTATATTTTTCTCTCAGGGAGGCAGAACGGTAGCTGCTCACAGGGTTTCTGCTGGCACGAGGGATTTGGGGAGGGTGAAGGCGGCCTGGAATGCTGGGCTGGAGGAACTGCCAGCCGCTGCCAGGGGGATGCTGCATGGGCCGGGTCATGGCTCGGCTGGGCTGCCCTTGCACCGGGTGCTCCTGCCTTCATTGGCTGCCTTTGAGGGCTTGGTGCCTCCTTCGCTGTCATGACCTGTCCCCCTGCCCCGGGGTATCTGTCCATCCTGCAAGGCTATTCCCGCCCCTCCCAAATTCATGGCCCCAGTGTCTCGGGGAGCCCAGGCTGTCAGGGCTTTGTTGCTATGCGTGGGAGCAAAGTCCTCCCTCCTCCTCCTCGCCCGGGAGCACTGCCAGCACCGCTTGCCGGGTGCTCCCTCTTGCTTTGTCCTGAGCTATCGGTGTGGAGCAACCCCATGGTGCTGCCAAGGGCACCGGAGTGTGGGTGCTCACAGAGCCCGAACCTCCTTCCTGGGGCTGGGCCAGGGCAGGGACCTGGGGAGGTACTGCCTTCCCCCAGGCTCCACCAGCTCCTGCTTTTTGGCCTTGTTTTGGGTCTTCCCTGTCCCCACCCTCGCTAGGGATTGCTGCCTGGGTGGAGGGTGCAGTCGCAGCAGCCTGGGCACCCTGTGAACCTGCTGCCACTCAGGCATGGGGACCGAGGCAGAGCCCGCAGCCCAGCCCCCGGGCATGGGGAGGACTGAGGGGCGGCCGGGGCGAAGTCGAGGTGTCGCAATCCTCCACTCAGCCAGGGAACCCGCTGCCAGTCTGTGGAGGAGATACCACCAGCTCCTTGGGGTGTTGCACTGGGCTTTGCCCAGCTGAGCCATGGGTGGAGCCTGCGGCGTCCCAGGCTCACCTTCACTCACTGGCAGCTGGCAGACCCACCTGGGTGCACCTCCCTCCCTGAGGCATTGGCGAGTGGTGCTGGGGCAGCAGCCGGCCTTGACCCTGCAGGAAGGCATTGTGCAAGAGGACGGGGTTTTATTGCAGCATTGGGCTTAGCAACTGCAAATGCATCACCCCAGCTCATGCGGGACCCTGTGCCACTGTGGCGGTGCCAGCACCCCAGGGACCAGGCTTTCCTGGCAAGGGGCAAAGGGGATTTCATGGTGAGAAGGGAGTGTGCTGTACAGGGGGTGAAGAGCAGCACGGTACAGATATGGTAGGGGAAGTTCCTGCAGTATGTGTCTGCAGTGATGCTATTGGTACCAAAGGAGAACAATCTCAGAAGAAAGAATAAATATTAAACCCACCAGTGAGGAATATTTCAGGAGCTCAAGCGTGGCTTGGCTGTTGGGAGAGCCCTACCAAAGGCCAGGAGCTGGTGGTCAAGGCAGGATCAAACCATTTTGTATACAAATATGTAGAAATGGTGTTTGGCTGCTGGGGTTGGAGCAGTTCTGACGGCACTGCGTGCAGGCAGCTGTTTTGTGTCGCCCGGTTCCTCTGATGCTTCCCGTGCATCCCGCTGCCTGCCAGGCAAGCGAAGGCAGCTCCTATTTGCCAAACTCCTAGGGATACTCCTGCTTCCCCCGCTGCTGCAATGTGGGGAATTGCGCTGTTAATGGGCTTGTGGGGGGCTGGGTGCGGGGCCATGGCTGCCCCGGTCGCGTTCCCTGGCTCCAGGTGATGGTGGATCCACAGGTCAGGATGAAACTGGGCACAAACAAGCTGGGTGTTGCCTCCTGGAGAGGTGAACGTCCCGCATCATGCTGCCCCAGTCGAGCTGGTTTTCTCTGTTTTGCAATCATGGAGGGTCGTGCTGGGGCGTTGGGGTGTGCTTTGGTATTGGGCTGCTCTGTCTGGCTCCCTGCTTGAGTTCCTTGTGCCCCGTCCCTGCCGGTAACAGCTTTGCAGTGGGGATCTTGCTGGTCCCACTGCTGGATTTGCCATGGAGGGGGGCTGGAGCTTGTGAGGGGTGATGGAAGGGATCTGCACCAGTTACTGAGACTTCACTGGCAGCAGGGGCGTTGGGGTGTGCTTTGGTATTGGGCTGCTCTGTCTGGCTCCCTGCTTGAGTTCCTTGTGCCCCGTCCCTGCCGGTAACAGCTTTGCAGTGGGGATCTTGCTGGTCCCACTGCTGGATTTGCCATGGAGGGGGGCTGGAGCTTGTGAGGGGTGATGGAAGGGATCTGCACCAGTTACTGAGACTTCACTGGCAGCAAAGGCTTCCCGGGTGGGGTGGGGGTGTTTCCCAGCAG